TTCTAAGTGTTGGGAAAAATGAGCTCTCTACTCTCTCGGCATTTAGTGAAGGAAAAGGAGTAAAATGTACAAATTCCCAAGTCCTCACTTAAAACCGAAGGCATAATGGAGCCATAAGGTCAAGGCTCATGACAATTGGCAACCATGCACTCTATTTGTCTAATCCTCACGTGAATGGCCAACAAAAGAACAAGAAGGCTCGGTCCACCACCAACACATGGACAATGCACGGTCTCTTAGGACGAAAGGGACAAAAATGTTCTACAACCAACACACACATGCACAACAAAACAAACATGAGGGGCACGGATAATCACAAGATCTTGGACACTCCGCCCACTAGTAGTTGCACGGCATTCATGGACGACACACACACGGTCTCTCGAACACACGCACGAACACGTGCACGGCATTATGCGCAAGAAAATGGACCGAGTACACTAACATAGACTCACGACAATAGCATCCAACGCACGGAAAAAATGCATGACTCGGAATAGAATTCGAATACTTTAGCTAATTTCGTGATTAAGTTAAATTAATCACTTAATTATTTTTAATTATCCAATTAAACATAATGCTTAATTACCAAGATTATTTCGAACGTAAATGGTACGTCGAAAATATTTTCTGGTAATTTCTACTGGAATAACTGAAAATAATTAATTCCGAAAAAATAATATCGGAACTAAAATATTATTATACTGATAAAAAGTCGGGATGTTACAACGACCGTCGACTGCACTTACCGAAGTCGCGACTATCGATCTGGTAACGTCACTAAGCTATCAACTTGGATGGATCCTATAATTCACTATTTGGAAACTGGGGCCTTGCCCCTGGACCCAAAAGAAGCTCGTACACTTCGGATTCGAGCAGCTCGGTACACACTGGATAATGGAACTCTTTTCAAAAGAGGATACTCCGTCCCACTTTTGAAATGCGTGAGTGAACCTGACTCGCGATATATCCTTGAAGAAATCCATGAAGGAATTTGCGGAAGCCACCCCGGTGCACAGGCCTTATCTTACAAAGTCTTGTGACAAGGTTATTATTGGCCGACCTTAAAAACCGACGCCGCTGCATGGGTTCGTAAATGCCCGAAGTGCCAAGTATTTGAACCCAATATTTGTCAAAATCCCGAAGAGCTCAAGTCTATCTACAGCCACTGGCCTTTTGTCAAGTGAGGAATTGATCTTATAGGACCCCTACTGACCGGAAAGGGTGGCGTCCAATTTGCGATTGTTGTTGTCGATTACTTTACTAAATGGGCTGAAGCCGAACCTTTGGCTACAATAATTGAACAGAAAGTGGTGGATTTCATGTGGAAGTCCATTATTTGTCGCTTTGGAGTACCGAACTCCATTATCACCAACAATGGCCGACAGTTCGAAGGTAGGCGACTTGAAACTCTTTGTGAAGAATATAATATCAAACACTTCTTTTCTTCGCCTTATCACCCGCAATCCAATGGTCAAGTTGAAGCTGTTAACAAACTCATAAAAAACGGCCTCAAAGTCCGACTTGACGCTGCCAAAGGAGCCTGGCCAGAAGAGCTGCCACATGTCCGATGGGCCTACTGGACTACAACTCGAACTTCTACGGGCGAGACCCCGTTTTCCCTGACCTACGGCTCAGAAGCCGTGGTCCCAGTCGAGCTCGGTGAACCGACGTACCGTGTTCAAAATTTTACCGAGGAGTCCAACTCGGAAAACCTAAAAGCTAATCTGGACCTGCTTGACGAACATCGCACCCGTGCTGAACTCAGAAATTCCGCTTACAAACATAGAAGCGAAAGATATGTCGGTTCTAAACTTAAGCCTCGTTCATTTCGAGTTGGAGACTTAGTTCTCAAACGCATAATGGGGCCTGACCCCGGACCACTCAAACCAAAATGGGAGGGGCCTTACCAAATCATTGAGGTTTTACCCCATGGAGCATATCGGATTGCTCATCCTGACGGCACACCTCATCAATATCCATGGAATGCTATCTTCCTAAAGAAGTTCTACCAGTGAATGGTCCAAAGTCGGATAGTCGACCTTTTTTTTTTTACACGGACCTCCCTTTTGCTTCACTAGATGTACGAAGTAACTCTTTTAATGTACTGAAGGCCTAT